CCGCCGCTCTCTAATAGGCCTCTGAAGGAAGCCACTGCAAGCTCTCTTGGGAATTAAGCTGAACATCTGGACTCTCTTTCCTCTGTGTCTTCTCTCCTTTCTCCTCCTTTCCCTCCGCGAAGAAGCTTAAGACAAAACCAGAAAGCCGGCGACCCTCACCTACTCGTGGACTGAAAGCCAGAAGAGGAAACCGAAAGTTGCCCTTTCTCAGTGCCTCGCAGAGCTCTGTCAGGGACGTATCTGAAGCACCGCACCCTCTTTAAGCAACTGGCTCTGGTTACCACACCTGGAGTCGAGAGACGCCTTTTCCCCGGAGCTCCTCGGCTCACATAGACTTTCCTGGCATTCCTGGGTCTTTGAAGAAGAGAGAAAAGAGGATACTCTAGGAGAGCAAGGGCGTCCAGCGGTACCATGGGCCGTCGGAGCGCGCTAGCCCTTGCTGTGGTCTCGGCCCTGCTGTGCCAGGTAGGGGGCCGGGCGGGGCTGCTGCGCGGTGGAGGGAGGGGAGCCGGACGAGCTGATCAGCTGTCCATCCCCAACTGACTCCGGCAGCTACGACCCCCGAGAGCTGCCCGGCAGCGGGCGGCTCCGGACGGGCGCTGCGGTGCGCTCGGCCTCTGCGTCCTAGCAAGGGCCCGCGCGCCCCGGGCCCCTCCGCCGCCAGTGCGTCCTCACGCCCCTTCCCTGCGCAGGTCTGGAGCTCTGGCGTATTTGAGCTGAAGCTGCAGGAGTTCGTCAACAAGAAGGGGCTGCTGGGGAACCGCAACTGCTGCCGCGGGGGCTCAGGCCCGCCGTGCGCCTGCAGGACCTTCTTCCGTGTATGCCTCAAGCATTATCAGGCCAGCGTGTCCCCGGAGCCACCCTGCACCTACGGCAGCGCGGTCACGCCAGTGCTGGGTGTCGACTCCTTCAGTCTGCCTGACGGCGCAGGCATCGACCCTGCCTTCAGCAACCCCATCCGTTTCCCCTTCGGCTTCACCTGGCCAGTGAGTGGGCACCTGCGCGCACCCGGCTGGGCCTGGAGGGGTAGGGTGGCGGGCGGGTGGCTGGCAGCGGGAGGAAGGCAGTGGCCACTGATAAGGGTTGGAGAATCCCACAAAGACACGCCTGTGGTCTTGACTTCTTCCCCGGAATTGACCTGCAGTCTCTGGAGGTTGAGGAGGGAATATGGAGCACCAGAAGCCTTGGCAAGCCCAAGGCATTTTCTCACACATCTCTGTTCTTATCTGGAGGGTCTAAAGCTTCTCCCTTCCCCTCAAGATTGGGAGAGTTCTTGTTCCATAGCTCCCAGGCCTGATTGTGTCACTACTAGAGCAGTGCTCTCCACCCTCGAGGTTCCAGCCCCAGAAAACTAATGACAGACACAGACCATCCTCTCCTCTTCCACCACCCCTACCTTGTTGGCTCAGTACTCTCACCCCTTTAAAACAAACACAATATTATGTATTAACATATTAAAGAGAAAGCACACACGGGAAAAACTCTAAAATTATTCTGTTTTCTTAAGGAAAGTGTTAGGAATTGACCCTCTCTGGCACCTCCCCTTCCTCCTCCACACTTGTGGTTTATCATGCACCGTCTCCCCCTTTTCCCAGGGTACCTTCTCTCTGATCATTGAAGCCCTGCACACAGATTCTCCGGATGACCTCGCAACAGGTAAGTCTCCAAACCTGAAAACCGTGCAAACTCCTTGTTGATACACATTCTATTTTGCCCACTCACCCAAGTCCTCTGATGCTTTCATTCTGCACCTGGAGTTCAGAGTCCAATCCATGTTGACAGCATCCCCACCACTCCCTCTGTTCCCGGGCTCTGAGTGTTATCAGAACCAACCTGAGCATCTTCTCTCTCAGAAAATCCAGAAAGGCTCATCAGCCGCCTGACCACGCAGAGGCACCTGACTGTGGGAGAGGAGTGGTCTCAGGACCTTCACAGTAGCGGTCGCACAGACCTCCGGTACTCTTACCGTTTTGTGTGTGATGAACACTACTACGGAGAAGGTTGCTCTGTGTTCTGCCGACCTCGAGACGATGCCTTTGGCCACTTCACCTGCGGGGAGAGAGGGGAGAAGGTGTGCGACCCTGGCTGGAAAGGCCAGTACTGCACTCAACGTGAGTCCTCAGGAGGATGACTCCTAAGGGTCCATGTATGGGGAAAGACACAGGACTTAGCAACAGGGGATGGCACAGATGGCTCAGTGGGGAAACTGAGGCCTAAAGAGCAGAAGTGTCTTGCTAAGGTCTTGTGGGCAGTGGCAGAGTTAGGCTCAACTCAGGCATTTTAACAAGGGAGACCTTGTATCCACTGTAGGAAGCTGCTTTTCTTCACAGGGAGGAGTTCAGAGACAAGGCCAGGGGTCAGGAAGTAAGGCTGTGCTCTCCCTAGGGCCTTTGTATTAGAAAGGGAAGGGAGGAAGGAAGGGAGGGACAGAGAGGGGATGTGGAGGGCTCATTTTCCAACAGTTCTCCTTGCTGTGACAATGTCTCTTTGGGAAACCCTCCCTTTCCTCCTCAGAGTTAGGGTGCCTGACCTGCCCACAGAGTAACCCATTTCCAAAGATCCCCTGTGTTGAACCCTGAGTGTCCTGTAGGGAAGTCTTCAGTCCTTTGGGTGGCAGGAAGCTGGCAGGTGGGCTGAGTGAGGCACAGAGCAGGGCCACGGGGTGAAAGGCACCTGGCATGTGGTCTAAATGCTCATAGCACAGTCTGTAAAGAAATGCAGTAACTGATGTCCTGTAATGCTCTTGCAAACCAGGGGATCAGGGCCATAGGGAGGACTCCGGCTCTACTTCTGGTTTTCAAGGACCTCAGTGGGCCACCCTCCAGCTCTCTGAGGCCTCAGCTGTTCAACCTGTAGGAATGGCATTTCCTTCCAGTCAGGGCTTGGTGAACTTTTGTTCTCCTGCCCTGGAGCAGTTGAACATTGGACTCTGTGAGGCCCAGAACCTCTCTGTCAGTGCCTAGAGGAGGATATGGAGCAGCTTTCTAGATTTAGTTTTTGCTTGAGGATGAAGGGGTCCTCACTCCAGTGAGAACCTGAATGTCATTGTTGCTTAGTTTCCCATATCCTTGAGGGCTTTGGAGCTCCTTTGATGGCCCGCCTTGGCCAGAGCTGTATGTTTTCTTAAGAGCTGGAGTTGCTGATCATTAATGAGTTTCATAACCAGGGAAGTGAGCCAGCTCAAAGCTCCAGCCTATGCCCCCCACCCCCCCATCTTCAGGCTCTCTGGCCTCCCACTGTAACTTTCCTCTCTAGGGGCCAATGGTTCTGGGGTAGCCAGAAATATAAACTTTTCTTCTTATTCAAACGCTGGGGTTTCTCCCCGCCCTTGCTTACACGTGCCATAGATTAGATCTCTCTGAGGATAGGCGGTAGGGACACTGTCTGTTCCCATTGGTAGAAGGGTATGTGCACACACGCGCTTATGTGAGTGCATACACACATGCTCAGGCTGGGGGTTGGGTGGGGGCAGCATTGTTGTGCTGGGGCAGCTGCGGGAAGGAAGAGACAATGGAGCAGCTGTCCTGCCCTGCACGCTGCACACCAGCTGTCCACTCTTATCTGCACACACACTTTCTGGGATATTAAGAGGTGGAGCTTTGTGCATAGAATTGGGAAGTGGGGGAGGAGGAGGGAGAAGACTTCTGACCCTCTTTTAGAAGAAAAAGGGACAGGGGTAGGAGTGGGGGCTTCTGAGAGCCCTTTTGTCCTGGAAACACTATGTTAAGAAGAATGCTCATCCCAGGCTTGAATGAAGTCCAAAGCCACCAGCGAGGGTGGGCTAGGCTTTGCAGCCTGGGATCCACTCAGCCTGGACCTACAGAGTGGGTACTACTAATTTTGCCCCAATCCTACCTGGTGATACTGGGGAATCCCTGGGATGGGGCTCCAACGTATGTTTTTATTTGCTTGCAGCAATCTGTCTGCCAGGGTGTGATGACCAACATGGATTTTGTGACAAGCCAGGGGAATGCAAGTAAGTTTGCAAAGTTGTTTTTGTCTTTGTTGTTTTCTTCTTCTCTTTTCTATGAGGCTTTCTATGTAGCCCAGAGGTCTTCCTATGTAGCCTAGGCTGGTCTTGAACTCATAATCCTTTGCTGAAGGCTCCCCATGCCATCATGTCTGGTTCATCTTTTCTTCTTGCTCCCCTCTACCCCCCCCATATAGTATGTAAAACACCCCTGGGAGTCAGTTGATTGGGAGATGTTACTCTAATAAAGGTCTGAAAAAATGTATAAGCTGCTATTAACTTAAACTCATACTTGACTATACAGACCTCAGTTAAAAGGTTTGCATGGAACATGAGATCGCACTTCCAAGGTTTTTGTGCACGTTAAAGACAACTAGGGTAGCCCCTGTGCCCTTCATCAAAGACTCTCAGAGGGCACAGGTCAGGGGTTTTAAGCTAGTCCTAGTCCTGCCTGTGTTTGAGGACTGGCAGCTTATTGCTGCTTCTGGATATGCTTTTTTGGTGTGTGAGAATGCCATTATGAATCTAGAAGGCAATATGATTGTGTTTTGCTTTTTCCAAGGTGCAGAGTTGGCTGGCAGGGCCGCTATTGCGATGAGTGCATCCGATACCCAGGCTGTCTCCATGGTACCTGCCAGCAGCCCTGGCAGTGTAACTGCCAGGAAGGCTGGGGGGGCCTTTTCTGCAACCAGGGTAAGCCCCTCCTTCTATGATTGCCTGATTCTCTCAAAGCATCCCGATGCTCATTGGAAAAGTAGATTCTTCCTGTATTTGATCTTGGGCTTCCTGCCCCCTTTCCTGTCTCCACCCTGGCAGACCTGAACTACTGTACTCACCATAAGCCATGCAGGAATGGAGCCACTTGCACCAACACAGGTCAAGGGAGCTACACATGCTCCTGTCGACCTGGGTATACAGGTGCCAACTGTGAGCTGGAAGTAGATGAGTGTGCGCCAAGCCCGTGCAGGAATGGAGGGAGCTGCACGGTGAGTCAGGTGCACTGTGCTGCGCTACCTGAAGATGGGATCCTTGGTTTTAATAAAGTGTACAGGTTCTTGGAACAGCTTAAGAAAGCCTCTTGTGGCCTCCTTGTACAGGACCTTGAGGACAGCTACTCTTGCACCTGCCCTCCTGGCTTCTATGGCAAGGTCTGTGAGCTGAGTGCCATGACTTGTGCAGACGGTCCCTGCTTCAATGGGGGACGATGTTCAGATAACCCTGACGGAGGCTACACCTGCCATTGCCCATCAGGCTTCTCTGGCTTCAACTGTGAGAAGAAGATGGATCTCTGCAGCTCTTCTCCCTGTTCTAATGGTGAGGGTCAATAGAGATGTGTGGGCACTGGCTCCAAAAGCCTGTGCATTCTTGTTAGAGAAACACATCGCTTTGTGAATCTTGGGTTTGTGGATCCCTGAATCAATTCCCTTGGATTCAGGAGGAAAGAAGACAATTGGAGAGTGTTAGTCGTTCATTCCCAATGCAAGGAATGCCCTGGTTAGCTGGCCACAACCTGTTCAGGGTCGATGTTTAGGTGCTTGTCACCATTCATGGCTCTGCAGGCTCTGCTCAGGTAGAGGAAGCATAGCTGTGGTGTCACTGGAAGGGAGTCTCGCTCCAAATAGCAGTTTGGGTACCAAGTATGAGGAGGCATGCTTTTTGCACCATGAACCTCTTGCTAGTGGGAGAGAATAAGACTTAGGAGGGAAGCTGGCCCAATAGTTGCCTTTCCTTCTCTCCTTCCCTTCCACCTTCTCTTTCTTTCCTTCCCTTCTTCCTCCCTTTCTCACTTTCTTCATTCTTGCCTTCCTTCCTTCCTTCCTTCCTTTCTGTTTCAGTCCTCTTTCCCCACTAACAGTATGTTGTCAGCAAATGTGACATTCCCTTTAATCTTTAATTTCTCCACCTGTAATCTGGATCTTGTAGTGTATTATCCCTTGTCTGGTGGTTGTGAGAGAAATGCAGTGATCAGGCAAGATACTTTACACTAATCTAGAGCCTGAATGTGGTGGCAAAGATCTGTAGTCCTAGTTACTCCAATGGCTGGGACAAGATGATCAAGTTCAAGGTCATCCTGGCAAATCTAGCAAAACCTTGTTTGAGACAGAAATGTGGGGATCAAGAGGTACTGGTGATGTAGAGAGTTTGTCTAATAAAGGCATAAAAAGGCTCTTATTATTTCTAATGTGTAGGTCTTGAGGTGGCATTCCCCCACAGCCTTGTATTTGAGATGCTAGGCTATGCAGTACAAAGCTAAACTGTCATTGTATCTGTGGTGTGTGTTAACTATGGGCTTACACGTGCTGCATCAACATGGCTGATGGGTGAACAAGCATCTGGGTGCCCATATGTGACTGCCTGCTCTGTATTCTAGGTGCCAAGTGTGTGGACCTCGGCAACACCTACCTGTGCCGATGCCAGGCTGGCTTCTCTGGGAGATACTGTGAGGACAATGTGGATGACTGTGCCTCCTCCCCATGTGCAAATGGGGGCACCTGCCGGGATAGTGTGAATGACTTCTCCTGTACCTGCCCACCTGGTTACACAGGCAAGAACTGCAGTGCCCCTGTCAACAGGTGTGAGCATGCACCCTGCCACAATGGGGCCACCTGCCACCAGAGGGGCCAACGCTACATGTGTGAGTGTGCCCAGGGCTATGGTGGCCCCAACTGCCAGTTCCTGCTCCCTGAGCCACCACAGGGTCCCATGGTGGTGGACCTTAGTGAGAGGCATATGGAGAGCCAGGGCGGGCCTTTCCCCTGGGTGGCCGTGTGTGCTGGGGTGGTGCTCGTCCTCATGCTACTGCTGGGCTGTGCTGCTGTGGTGGTCTGTGTCCGGCTGAAGCTACAGAAGCACCAGCCCCCTCCCGATCCTTGTGGGGGAGAGACAGAAACCATGAACAACCTGGCCAATTGCCAGCGTGAGAAGGATGTTTCTGTCAGCATCATTGGGGCTACACAGATCAAGAACACCAACAAGAAGGCAGATTTTCACGGGGACCATGGTGCTGATGAGAGCCGCTTTAAGGCCCGATACCCTGCTGTGGACTATAACCTCGTTCGAGACCTCAAGGGAGATGAAGCCACCATCAGGGATGCACACAGCAAACGTGACACCAAGTGCCAGTCACAGGGCTCTGCAGGAGAAGAGAAGGGGACCTCAACACTAAGGGGGTGTGTGCTGTGAGCTGGGCAAGGAGGGCAGGAAGGTCATTTCATGTTCTGATATGTCCTTGTTCAACCACATTCCTGTGTGCTTATTGTGGCTCTTTCTGCGTTCCCTTTCAGCGGAGAGGTCCCTGACAGAAAGAGGCCCGAGTCTGTCTACTCTACTTCAAAGGACACCAAGTACCAGTCGGTATATGTTCTCTCTGCAGAGAGGGATGAGTGTGTCATAGCAACTGAGGTCAGTGTGCTACATTCTTGTCACAGACCATGGGTAATATGGAGAAGGGCCATTACTATCTGACCTTAACTTCCTGTCCTGTCTCCTGGGCCTTTTTAGGTGTAAGATGGAAGCGATGTGGCAAAATTCCCATTTCTCTTAAATAAAAATTCCAAGGATATAGCCCCAACGAATGCTGCTGAAAGGGGAAGGGAGACCCCAGGGACTGCTGCTGAGAAACAGGTTCAGGCGGAGCTGGTTCTCTTGGAGTTAGCAGAGGTGCCGGACACTGCCAACCCAGGCTTCGGCTGCCACTGTGCTGCCTGCTGGATGCTCCCATTGCACTATGGACAGTTGCTTTGAAGATTATATATTTAAGTGGACGAGTGACTTGATACAAATAGGAAGCACGCACTGCCGACATGTCTATCTTGGATTACTATGAGCCAGTCTTTCCTTGAGCTAGAAACACAACTGCCTTCATTGTCCTTTTTTGATACTGAAATGTGTTTTTTTTTCCTAGATGGGGAAAAAAACGTGTGTTATTTTTTTGGATTTGTAAAAATATTTTTCATGATATCTGTAAAGCTTGAGTATTTTGTGATGTTCATTTTTTTATAATTTAAAATTTTGGTAAATATGTACAAAGGCACTTCGGGTCTATGTGACTATATTTTTTGTATATAAATGTATTTATGGAATATTGTGCAAATGTTATTTGAGTTTTTTTTTACTGTTTTGTTAATGAAGAAATTCATCTTAAAAATATTTTTCCAAAATAAATATAATGAACTACAACCTCAGGTGTAGTTTCTAGTCCTTGCCTTCCTCACACTGAGATATTTTGGAGAGCTGGTGACTTCCTCCGAACTTTAGACTTTTCAAGACTTGGAACAAAGCTTCGCTAGGGTCAAGTGTCAGTCAGTCACCTTGGTGTCAACAGGGCAACAGTGTTTTGTGTCTTAGAACAGTACTTACTCACTTCTTACTGAGTTTATTTCTACTTCGTTCAAAAAGCGAGTTGCTAGCTGATGCAAGCAGTCATGGTGGGAAAGAAAACATCAGTGAACGTGTTCTTTATTGGCCATGTTCTTTATTGCATGCCAGGCCCTCATATGTTCCACCTGTGAGGCTGGTATTATCATTCCTACCTTACAGGAGTGGAGAATGGAGGTGTAGGTGAAGTTACTGGCTCTGGAATCCCAAGTAGCTGTATCAACATTAAGATCCAGGCCAACATGATCTGGGAATTTAAGACCTGTTGGTATTCCTTCCAAGGAACCAGTCAGTATAGACTCAGTTCTCCGATGTTAAGTCCACACTGTGGAGGAGGGAGCCTCATTCTTGTGTATAAAGAGGCCAGGTAGTGGGAGAACGCCCTCCTGGTATGTCTATCTGAAAAAATCAGATAGAGCTGACTACATAACAAGTCTTTGTATCAAGGCGCAGTGGGGTTGATGCTGAGGGACTGAACACTGCTAAGAAGGTGCCATGCACAGTTCTTCTGTTGAGCATCACCAGGCACAGTTCTCACCGAGGAGCCCCTTGGCTGTTAATTTAGAATAATGTCTAATGGGGAAAGTCTCTAGTGAAGTAGTAGCAGGGCCTGGTTTCCCACCCTACCGCTTCCTCAAACTCTCTCTTGCTTACTCAGGGGCTCTTTGCATCTGGGGAACTGGAGGTGGGGTAATTTGAACCATGGAAGCTCTACTTTTCCTTCTATAAGTGGTCAGGGGTGAGCGGTGACTGGTATGTTCATCACACCAGTTTCAGGGGTACGTAACATGCTAGGATTCGTGTGAAGTCCAGTCTACAAAAGTGTTTAAACATAACACCACTTTCATCTTCCCAGCCTTGTAAAAACCAAAGGATAAACCATCTTTCATCTGGGGTAAACCAAGTGACCTGCTTAAGAAGAAAGTAGGTGGCCTAAAACTCCTGGCTGTGAATCCAACATCCTAGTAGAAGCTAAAATGTCTGCATGCAGGTGGTTTTTTGGAGTCTGAGTTGATGCCACTTGCAGTGGGAAATTCAAGTACATCAGTTAAAAACAGCCATATAAAAGCATAGACATGAGTGGGCCAGTGGTGACTCACCACACCAAACAGTGCCCAGCCATGTTTAGCCTCTGGCCATGCCTGCCAAGGCCTGCACAGTGTTTCGCTCCAAGTATGCCATAAGGAACGAGGAAGGAAGGAACAATGAATCCTCTTAAAATGATGGTGTAAAAATAGAAGATCCTTTCTAATGGGAATAATACTTGAGCTGGATGTCAGTATTTTTCAAGTTCTGAGGAGTATTGGAGTATGGCTGGCTGCCAACATAGTAGGAAAGACCTGTGCCAACACAGATCTAGTGGTCGGAACAGGAGACTCCAACTTCCTCCCCCCACTTCCTCCTGTCAAATCTCATAGCCAGTATCTCTGGATTTCAGTAGGACCACAGGTTGGAAAGGAAGGGAGGGAGGGGAGAGATATATTCTTGTGTTTTAGGGTTTCTATTGCTGTGAAGAGACATCATTACTACACCAACTCTTATAAAGGAAAACATTAAATTGGGGGTCGCTCACAGGTCAGAGGTTCAGTCCATTATCACTATGGTGGGACATGATGACATGCAGGCAGGCATGGTGCTGGAGAGGGAGCTGCTACATGTTGACTCGAAGGCAACAGGAAATGGTCTATCTCACTGGGAGTAGCTTGAGCATAGGAGACCTCAAAGCCCACTCCCACAGTGACACACTTACTTCAACAAGACCACGTCTACTCCGACAAGCCAGACTTCCTAATAGTACCACTCCCTTTGGAGGCCATTTTCTTTCAAACCACTACATCTTATTTATAGGTTTTTCTTACTTTCTTTTTTTGTTTGGACTTAACTTTGTGCTTCCAGAAATGTGTGAATATTGGGGAGAATCTTACTACTAAAATCATGGTCTATGAGGACTTCCCATTTTGTCCTTCTCCACGTGGATCAGCTGCTTTACAGTGAAGGTGTGTGCTTGCATCTTCACTCATTCACAGCTTTCATGGACTCTTGGGTGGTTGTCACCCACGGAAGACAGTTGTGGCCTTCTATCTTGATATCGTAGAGGAGGGAATGATGCTGAGTGTGGCTGGCCTCTTAGCAGGGCTGTTTGACAAGATCTTGGGTTCAGAGTACATTCTTCCTTCCAGTGTCATTGTCTGCATCCTATAATTTGTCTTTCTCCATCCTCCCTGGGTTCCTTTTGGTGGAGGAAAAGCAGCAGTTACTCTGTTAATTTTGTGTGTTTATGAAATTCAAAGTAATGGCAACCACCGAAATATAAATGTGCCGACTTTGCCAATGCTTCTTCAAGGGCTCAGTGCCTGAACTTACTCATCTGACGGGCAGAACTCCACAGGTGTACTTCCTGCTGTGAACTGATGAATGTAAATTCAATGCTGGTCAACGATGCCAGTGGCAAAGTATTTTTCTTCCGAATTCAGCTTGTGTTTGAAACAGTCCTAATCTCATGATCAAGCAGAGGATCACAGGTGACTAAACATCCTCCAAGACAACAGGGTCTATATCCAGCATCCTGGGAACTATGTAGGTCAGAGAAGCTGCTGGGACAGCAAAGAAGTTGATAGAGAATTGACAAATTAAAAGGGGATGATATGCATCAGCTGACTGCAATGTCTAGATCTGGTTCCTGATTCAGACAGTTTAAAAATTTATGAACAAACTAGAGAAAGTTAAATGTTGCTCTGCTATCTCAATGGTTGAAAAAAGTGTACTTGCTTAGTATTTAGGTGTGATATATTCTTATTTTGAATTCAACGAATAGAAGAGTCCTTTTCGCTTAGAGAAAAACTCTAAAGCATTTATGAATGAAATAGTAAGAGTTAGGAAATTTATTTCAATCCCTCATATGGGATGTGCTGGCAAGTGGGAGATGGACAAAACAGGGGCTACGCCAAGTGGTTGAAGCTGGGTAAAAGGTAGGTAGGATCAGCTTAGTTTCTTTCTTGCATGCTTGAAACTTCCCATAATAAGCAGGCTTTAAGATGAACTTTTCAATGAACATGTGTTCAGTGATCTTTCCATGGGCTGTATGTTCTAACAAGTTCTAACCTCGGGCTTAACCGAGGTTTTTCATCCTGGCGTATGCATCTGTCAGGTGGGAAATCTCACAAAACTCAAGGTAAGCAATCTATGTTGGATGGAAAGAGCAGTTTATTCAAGGATTTTGGTTCTAGAATATTGGGTCTAAAGTCTGCTCCATGTGGGTGCTACACATGATCAGTCTGCTCCACTGAGCGTATGACTAGGTGGTGATGCAGAAGTGAGGCTGTAGGTCCTACTCCTATTGCTACCCACTGTGTTGTTCAAATCACTAATCTTGTCTCAGATGAATAATAGTTTCTGACTGCTTTCAGCATAGGGTTCCAAATTCTTAACTTGGCCTCTTGGGCCTTGGTATAATCTGGCTCCTGACTGTCCCTGGCATTTCAGTTCATGCTCTTCTCCCTTTGACCCTTTAGCCCTTGGCTCTAGCCAAATAGGCTGTGGGAAGCTCCCTAAACCTAGAACTTTGCAAATAATTCTCCAGCTGTTTGTATGCTGTGTTCTGCTGTCATTCTGATCAACTCCCTAAAAATGCTCTGCAATCAAGAAGCCTTGCCTGGACATTTGATCATGATCAGTGTCCCAAGAATCTGTAACCAGAATATGAATCCAAATACAGAAATTACCTGAGTGTGTGACTGTACTACTTTGTGTTTATTCTGAGAGCTGGTTGTAGAGATACAGTCCCAGTACACAGTGAGTACATGTTTACCTGGTAACGGGTGAGCCAAGTTAGCTATTTCTTAGTCTATGAACTTTATGAAAAACATCAGGGAAGATAGCTTTAATAAATAGCACCTGAAGGCCTAGAAGCCTGCACATAGAGGGTGGTGCTGTTTTGACTAACATGGCTCACACACAGGAGGAGGGCTGTGAGATAGTATTGATAGTAGTGCTTCTACTTCAAGTGCAAGATACTTAAAGACTCTCTGGCATTTGTTATTTGAAACAAGTCAAAGAAGACCTTTTAAGAATATGTCTGGCTGGGCAGTGATGGCACATGCCTTTAATCCCAGCACTTGGGAGGCAGAGGCAGGCTGATCTCTGTGAGTTGGAGACTAGCCTGGGCTACAAGAGCTAGTTCAAGGACAGCCTCCAAAGCCACTGAGACATCTTGCCTCAAAACACACACACACACACACACACACACACACACACACACACACACACACACACACACACACACACACACACACACACACACACACACACACACACACACACAAAGAAAGAATGAAAAAGAGTATGTCTGTCCCTGCAGAACGTTAGCA